CAAAGCTTATAAAAATGGCGAAACTATATCAAACACTTAGTAAAAATTTAGCGAAATTAAAGGTTTTACCGTTTTGCCAAATCCAAAATGAGTTTCGACAAGCAACCTTAGTCAGATCATAAGCTTGACCTGATCTGATATTGACCTGAAAATTTGTCTACCTGATCTGGATTTTTCAGGTCAGGTCAAGTTGAATCACAGGTTGACTTAACTTGATTTAGAGTTCTATTATTAATTTTACTTTAAATTATTTATAATATATATAATTATAATTTATATAATAATTATTATTTTAACTTATTATAAGTATTAAATAAATATTTATAAGACAATATAAATTTAACAAAAAAAATAAATATATATATTTAATTAGTATAAAAACTTATATTTCGTAAGATTAATCAACTATTAATTATCATTGTAACAGTTATTACAAATGCTTATTTTTATCTTAATAAGCTTAAAAGAAAAATGAACTAGTCATCAAATTTACAAGAAGAATTATTATTAGTTATGATTAATCCTAACTTAAAACAATTAAATTTTATAAAAAATTAATGTAAAATATTAATTCAATAGAATTATTTTTATATAATTAAGTATATATATATATATAAGTATATATAAGTATCATAAAATACAATTATTTTATTTATCACTTAATATATAAATCATATTATACTATTTAAATATATCATATGATATCCATCATACATCATATTTAAATAAAATTTTATTAGATGATAATTAATATAACATATTTTTAAATAATTTATAAACTGAATTTTTCTACAATAAAATATATTAATATATATATACATTTTTCCTTTTTATTCTTATAGTAAAAAAATATGTTTTTTATATCTTTTATTTAAAATATAATAAACAATTAAAGCAATATTATATATCTAGTATATTAAGATATAATAAACAATATAATTTATCTAGTATATCTATTATTCATAAAGATAATTATAATAAATATATTAATAATAGTCTTTCAAAAAAATTTGAATAATAAAACCTTTTTTAAACTAATATGAATATTGCATTAGTTTATTTATGAAAATATAATCATAAATTAAAATTAAATACTTATAAGTTTAGTAATAAATATAAAATTATCAAAAGATTAATAAATAAAATTTTATTAATGATAAAATATTTAAAACCTATTAGCATATTTATAATATGTATTATAAATAACTAAAAAATAACCAATATTATTTTTTATAGATGTTGATCCTATAATAAATACTATAATATCTCTGGATTAATTTATTAGAAAACTAATGATTTGTTAAAAAATTAATTTTTAAATTATTATGATCATTAAATAAATTATAAGTAAAGATGAAATCCGTAATTAATATGTTACAACTTTTAATATTATAATACATGTTGCAATTAGTTTTAACCTATATATATTGTAACTTATAATATTGCAACATATGTTATAACTAATTTTAGTTTATGTTGCAACATATTGTAAATTTGAAATTAATTGCTACATCATCTTTAATTATAAGCATATTATTATTTAAAATAAATAATAATAATAATAATTAATATTAAAGCTAAATCATGAGTTTAAAAGATAAATATATTTATTAAAAACCTATTAAAAGTAATTTAATTTTTTGTTAACTTATTGATTATTATCTATAATAAATATTAATTTTCAGTTACTAGTTCTATTTCAATATATATATAATAATTTTTTTTTATCTTAATTAAAATACAAGAAAATTATTTATGAAAATTGCTTTAATTGATATTAAAGTAAAAAAACATAATATTATATTTTTAATAATTACAATCATATTTTAGAATAAATTTTATTTAAGAATAGATAATTATTGTATATAATTAGTAATAGAAGATATTAAATTAAAATTAAAGTAGAATTAGAATTAGAATTTAGAATTAGAATTAGAGTTTGAGATTATAGTTAGGATTAAGGTCTGAGATTAGGATTAAAATTAGAAGTAAAGTAAGAATTATGCTATGAAAAAACTATATGTTGATATTAATTATAATATACAATTCATCTTATTATTAGGTTTTATATGATAGCAATTATTGGTGAAATTGTTGAAAATTTTGTAATTTTCGTTCTATAAACCATATATATTATTCTACAAAACTATCTAATCAAGCTTTTTTTTTGATTTTCTCAAAACCAGATAATAAATTAGCATAATATTTTAAATAAATGCTTTGATTTTAATGAGTAATTTATTTATTTATAATTTATTATAACGCATATATCAAATTTCAAAAAAAGTTTTTTATTTATTAATATGTTCATTTTAGAATTAAAATATCTTTTTTTTTTTTCATTTCTTTTATTTATTTTTTTAATCTTTCTCATGGATCAATTTATTCAACAAAATTCTATTAAAATACCATTACAACCAACCGATATAAATCCACAATTAGAAATTTCGATAAACTTAAAGAGCTATTTAATTGCGGTTTAATTTCTCAGCAAATTTTGTTATAAAAATGATATTTATAGATATCTCTACATGAATTAAGTATATTATATTTAGCATAATGTCAAAAATATCAATAATAATTATACAATTGCAGTTTATTAATAGTTTAATATAAAAATATCAAAAAGCATAATCCTATTTGGTAGAATAAATTCAGTTATCATTGCAGAATAAACTAAGAGAAGATATAATCTAAAAATAATTAATTTTAAAAGATTTTAAATTTTAATGATACAAAAAAAAAATGCGATCCTAAGTTTAAGCCAATTAATTGTACATATGTTAAGTCAATTTTTTCATACAGAAGCAATATAAAGTAAAAGTTCAACAGCAGTCACTGCAGGAATATCGTTATCAAGAATATAGAGATAACTTGGTCCCGGTGGAAGTATAGTCGGATTAGGTGGCATTTCAACAGTTATTATCAATTCATTTGTTGAACCTTCAGCATATACAGCAGATAAAATATTACACATGACATATTTTTGTGAAAAAGCGTTTGAATGTGTAACGAATCCAGGATGAATTATAGCTGCTGTAAGGAATGGATCATTTTGCAATGTTGTAACGGTAATCATAACTTCTTGTGCATAAGTTACCGGAATTCTTTGAGTGTTTAGTGTTTTATATTCTCCAACACTAGTTATTATTGGACGAACCAAATCGTTCATTAAATATGGAGGTGAGAACATTTCAACACGATATCTGTGCAACAAAAAAAATAGTTCAAGAGAGAAAAAATTGGTAAAATTATAAAATAAGTTGTGGAAGTAAGAAAATCAAAATTACTTACTCGGTGGGAAATTCAGATTTAAAATTCACATTTCCCTGTGGGTTGCTACCAGCTACGAAAACTCTTCCATCAGCTACCAAAGTAGCAACAGAGTGATACATTCTTGGAATGGTTGATGGAGCAAGTTGAGACCATCCTTTTGTTTCAGGATCATAAAGTGAAGGAGCAAGAACTGGGTTAACGGCAACGTAAAGGGGATTCGTATTTGGACCTTTATGATATCCAGCGTAACCTGCTCCAGCACCATTTAAATATAAGAGTTTTCCAGTTGGCAAAATAACAACGTCTGGCATCATTCGCCCAACACCCCCGAATCCGTCTGTTTCCCATGCAGGTTCTTCTTCAGTTGGATCAATTCTACCACACGATGCTTCGGCCTGAGCTTTAATATCCATTACATTTCCACCTCCGCAAATCATAATAACTGGTTTATAATATTGTGATGGTCTAAGTGGTAATAAAACCGAGTTACCAGTTAATGGGTATGACCTAATGGAACCTGGTAATGGTGGCAACGTTTTCTCGACAGTAGCAGTATCAAAGTTATAAAGAATGCCTTGTTTGTTTGCAAATATAAATGCAATTGTTTTATCATTATTGTTTGGCAAAATATGAAGGAATGGGTAAAGATTAAATGGTAAAGTTTCTACTAATAATGGTATATCTACAGTATTTCCCGGCATTCCACCTGCTACGGGCCAAATTTCATACGTTGGATTATTAATGGCGGCAGCATTTTTTCCAGTTCCTTTTAATGAACCTCCAAACACTAACACATCTCCACTTGGAAGCGTAGCCATGGTTGGATACCATCTAGGTGAGCTCATTCCAGCAGGTATTTCGGTCCAATCGGCTTCCGTACCAGGTGTGTAAAATCTAATACTTTGATAGCCAGCATCATATCCGAGAGAAACCTCTGCGCCACCTGCGTGGAGGAGCGTTCCGTTGCTAAACCATGAACCCGCTGAACAAAACGTATCTGATTGAAGGTTGAGAATTCTGTACTCATTTGTTTCGATATTATATAATGTGGAAATCGCTGGATTACCATTTGCTTGCTTAATGGGATTCGCCTCAACTTTGTCAATTATAATTATTTCCTTATGGGAAATTACAGCTATGTGCATAGCGGCAACACCCGACTCTCCGACTATCTCCCATTTGCCACCTTTTGTTACTTGTCGAGCATGGAGAAAAGCAGGAGATACGGATGTTACAAGATTAGAATGTACCAAAAGCGTGAGGAGGAATATTATGAAATTTATTTTCATTTTTTTTTATTTTATAATTTAATCTTCGAAATTGGAAAATAGAGCAGGAATAAAAGGAATTTGAGGATTTTTTACCCTTTTTCTATCAGAAATTTTAGAATAATCAAAGAACATGTAGATAAGATATTTTCAGGTAAATAAATAGTAAATAAATATAAGACAAATCAGTTTTATTTCAGATTTTTTTTTTTTTTTTAGTCTTTTCCATTTTCGTTCTTAATCAAGCATCTAAATACAGCAACTATTCAAAGAGTTTAATTATACTCCCAAAGAAAAGGAATTGGGAATGAAAGTAGAATACATATATGTTATTATCGTACAGAAATTTTTGAATATTACTACTATGAATTAGAATTTGCAGTTTTCGGGGGGAATTCGTCCCAAACAAAATTATTTATTTAATATAAAAATAGATTACATATAATAAATTATACAATTTATTCTAAATATTTGTAATTTATTTTTTTTTCCCATGATTTCGAAGCAAAGAATTTTTTTAGGTTCGTAATTTAATTTATTTTTTAATTATTATTATTATTATTATTTATCATGTTTTTTTCTTCCAGTGATAAATAACAGTACAGTATGTTTATTATTTTTTTTTGTTATTATAAATTTCTTATTTTTATTTTTATTTTTTATAATTAGGTATCCATTCTAATTTATATTTTTATTTTAAAAATTTTTTTTTTTAAATTATTAATCTATATAATAGATTCCTACATCTTATTATTTATTTTATTCATACTAATTATTCTTTATTTTATTAGTTTCGTTATGGAGGATCTGGTAAGGTTTTTTCTTCTGATTAATTATTTTTTTTTTTATCTATCAATCTATCATTTTTATTGTTTATTAAAGTAAATACTAAAGTTGTACCTTACATGAAAAAAATAAAAAAATATTTTTTACTTTTTTTAATTTTTGTCTTACAAATAAAGAAGGAATTCTTTTATTAATTTTTTAAAAAAATTTGTTAATATTATGCTTTTATAAAAAATATAAAATAATAGGCTATACCTATTTTTATCATGAAAATTATAACTTACATAACTTACATATGGGGTGAGTGCTAGGAAAATGGACCAAATTGGTTTTTTTTTTTAAAAAAAAGTTCCTAAGTAAAATAGATGTAGATTTGGTCATCTGATTCAGATCATTTGTTATTTCAAAAAAAATTTTTTTGTTGATTTGGTCCTTTTTCCTAGCATTCACCCCATATAAGTTGAATAAACCTAAAAAAATAAATAATTTAGCATTATTTTTTAACAAAAAAAAATGATATTTTTTGCTTACTTTTAAATTTCTTTATTAATTTATCGTCTGATAGTTCAGAATAGATACAAAAAATAAAACTGAATTCATTAATTCAGATTTAATTAAAAATAAACTAATAATTATTAAAAAATCTGTTTTTTATAAAATTAATATTTTGTAAAAAGAAACTATTAAATAAAATATAATATAATTAATAGTTTACTTAAAATTATTTTCATAATTTTATTTTAATAATATCAATAAAGCTAGTATATAGTAATATACATAATTTACTATCAGTGATAAATTTTCTTAATATATTGTATAATATATAAATGATAATTGTACAAGCTATTATAATTTTAAAAAGAAATTGTATACATATATTTGATAATATATTGTAACTTTTAAAGGGATTGTATATTTATTTAAAAATGTATTATAAAAGATTATATATATGATAAAATTTATTTATATTTGATATTATTTTTATATTAAAGATGACATAGTAATTAAGAAGTTGCAACTCCTTATAATATAAAAATTTATAAATAGTTGTAACTAGTTAAAAATTTTAAAAATAATTATGAAAACCATCTTTATTATATATATATATTTGATAATCCATTATAAGATATGTATTTATTATATTATTATATTAAAATTGAATAAATATTACATTTTAATTATAATATAAATAAATATTTGTCATATTTTTATCATTGTAATTTATAATATAGTAACAATAAATAATATTATTATATAATCTAGTGTTAAGACATATGACTCGTAAAATTTTCGAAAGCAATTTTGAAAGAATTTAAAAAATTTTGGTTAAATTGAAAATTTTCAAAATTTATCTATTTTAAATTTAAAGAATATTATTGATTCAAATCATAAGATACAAAAATATGATTGAATATTGATTAGATTTATCTAACCAATTTTTTAATATAAATACACTTTGTTGCAAAAGATGTTAGCTAAAACCAAACGAGTTACTTTATATATTCACTAAAAAGTTTTTTAAATACTTTTGACATCCATAATAATTCTCTTGTGTGTCTTTTTTGTAGATATTCTGTTAGTTGGAAATATAAGTTAGTATTTCTTCATATATTAAAATTAAAGTTCATATCAAAAATAAAAGAAATTATGAAACAGCCACAAAAAATACCTATTCATTAACTTTAGACAATTTATTTGTTGTAGAATTTAAAAAGATGATAGTTCTGAATCTTATAAAAGTATTTGTTAAAGCAAATATTTCTTAGAAAAAATAAATGTACTCTAATCTTTCTTAAAAAATATTGTCACAAAGGTGACGCAATTTCACAAGCTAATGCATTGAGACGAAATTACTTACCAGAAATTTATCAACAACATATTGATGATTTACAAGAAGTTTTTTAGAATAAAACAGTATCAATAATTGTTTATGAAACAACTGATAGTCAGGCTTAAAGATTTATTAATATCTTATTTAGTTATCATAGTAATATAAGACTTATAACAGTTAATTTCTTGAATTCTGTTAACAATATTACTATTGATCAGCTTATCATTTATACATTAATAGAATGGTCTTTACCATTTAATTATCCACATTTTTTAGCATTAGATTTAGCATCCTATATGAAAAAAAGTTATCACGAAGTTCTTAAACCAATTATGTCTCAATTTATTCATTTATCTTGTTTAGTGTATATGGTGCCTTTGCAATAGAAAGGGGGAAAACAGCCGGAAAAATCAAAAATGAGTTAATGCTAAATTTAAACATATTTCAGTATAAAAATCATATTTGGCATATAAAGTAAAATTAATTTTTCCCGGCAGTTTCCCCCCTTTCTATTACAAAGGCCCTATATTCTTAATTTTATTAGGTAAAAAATAGTTTAATTAAATTAATTAAATTAAAAGCATTTGATAGCTTAAACTAAATCTCTTTTGTATATTTTTGATTAGTCAAGCATGGATATCTATTGTGTATTTTGATTTAGTAAAAACCCAATTGATAAATATAACGAAAACTTTTATTTTAGCTAAAGCTCAGTATGCATAATATCTTTTCTTTTTATCAAAAAATGATATACAAAATCCTACAAATGTTTCTCTTCCTATTGCTACTCAATAGAATTCTTGGTTTAAAATAGCCTTTTATATAAATGATCATTATTAACTTCTTCAAACTTCTATATGAAAGAATAATAATAATGAAACTATAGAAAACTAATAGAAATTTACAATAATACAACCAAAATTTAAATTTATCTTTCTTTTATTAAAATTCATGCATAAAAATTTATAAATGACTTAAATTTTTTTCAGCAAGAAAACCTTTTTTTATTTTCTTTTATTAAGGGACGGTTAGACAACTAAAGCTTATATTAATAATAGAATAATAATGGCAATAGAAAATTTTGGGAAATCTTTAATTACTACTATTCAAAACCTTAATTTTATATCTGAATCATTTTAGTCAATAATCAAATCTGCTTATGATGCAGCTTCTGAAAAATATAGGAAACATATTTCAAATCACCCATGTCATGCACTTTTTAAAGTAATTTGAATACAGTTACACCTCAATATAATGAAGTTGGCGTTCGGGCTGATCAGTCTTTCATTATAAGAAAATTTATTATTACTATAACGAATTATTCGGTATAATATAATAAATTATTCAGTATAATAAAAGATTATTGAAAAAGAAAAATACAAACATAATTTTACTATAATATAATTAAAGTTAATTTTATGATGTCATTTTATAGAATAACCTCTTTGTGGTTAAAGTTAAAGTGATCTTGAAGCAATTTTGGTAATGTAAAAATTGGAATTAATCTTAAATAAAACAATTTATAATAATAAATATAAATTTATTTTTAAAAGTTTTGAGATCTCTTCATTAAA